AAACTTGACTCAACTGTCAGACACTCGCTCACTAAAGATTTGCTTGAGCGTATCGGTTTCGACCCTTTCAGCTCAGCAGTTGAAATCATAATGGCTCGCTCACAGGCAGGTAGCAGGGAAAACCACGTTGACGCTTGTGAATGGGCACAGATGTTTATAAAAGACGAATTTAAGTATAATCCTCTGCTGTCTACAAGAATGTCCAAATTTCCTTTTCAAAGCAGTATCACCAATAAGTGGGTTCCGCTAACGAACATACCTAAAGAAGAGGTGCAAAGTAACATCCAGTTGTCCAGCGTCAACATCATGAACCTTGTGACCAAGGAATCCGATGCGTATGGCCTAGCTCGTACAGCAGTCAGTGCCTTGATGCCACAGGACGACAGAAACATTGCTCTTTATCATGGCACAGACCACCAAAGTGCGCGACAAATTTTGATTGGGGGAATATACTTAAATGCTGGACGACAAAAGCGAGATTTCAGTTGTGGAAAGGGATTTTATTTAACAACTGAAATGGAAGATGCTCTTAACTGGGCAAAACAAACAACAGAGAAGCCAGCCATTTTAATCTTTGCAGTCGACCGTACCAATCTTAGTAAAACCCGTAAACTGAACTTGTACGAAAATGAAGAAAAATGGCGAGAAATAGTATCGTCCTTTAAAACAGCTACGCGAACCGCGGTTACAAGAGAGAGTGTAAATCAGTATGACTTGATTGAAGGACCGATGGCCAGAATGATACGGGACGAAACCTGTGACGAGTTGGTGTTCCAGCCGAAACCGTTATCGTATCAAATATGTCTGATTTCAGAAGTTTTCGCTGAGGAGTTCGAGAAGACTCTCCACTCAGTTGTCTTCTTCGACTTTTCTTAGGCCAGGCGGAACCTGCTACTAAACCATATGGACCATACTACAATAACTTTAAATTGTAATATCATAGGCGCAGTTTTGGCCAATCTTATTAAATCTTATTATACAGTTTAAGTTTCTAGCATAAAAGTGTATGTTAACAGTTGCAAATTGTGCGTGCTTCTTCATCGTCTCCAGCTCAGTCGGTAAGAAGAAAGTTAAAATATCTTTGCAGAGAGTTATAACGTATGACTTGACAGCCAAGGACCCGAGGCCGCCGATGAGACGTGAAAAACCTCCGACATTAAACGCGTCTTGTCAGACGGCTTTTGTAGGTTTTGAGAAAGCTGTACATCCATTTTCTTCTAAGACAAGTCGATCCTACTGCTAGACCATATGGAAGAATAGTTGTAAGTATACCATTTTACGAGTACTTAGATTAAACAATCAAGGGCCTAAGAACAACTGTAGTCTTTCTACTAAAAATCGGTGGCAAAAAATCAACGCACTTGATTTCAGAACCTTTCGGACATAAATTGAATGAACAACAAAACTGAAAATTGCATCTTCCAACTAAAATAGCAAGAAACAATACTAAAGGTGTGTTCGATTTCGTCGTGCGGTATTCCGGAGTACGAATACACGCAAAGGTTGTTGAAAGTACCTTCCCTCGGGATTTTGGAGCCACCAGATTGCTACACTAATACAATCATTTCTGCCTTAGGGCTTGATCATCCATTTATGCAATAGAATATGCTATCTGATATGTTTGTATGCCTGAACGCTCAGCTTGTCAAGAACAAAGTACGTCCCCATGCTAATTAAAAAAGATCCAAGAAGTCGGCAACACTTAAATGTCTGCGTTCTGCTAGACTATGCACATCAGAATCTGTATTCAGACAATAAACAGCAATTCAGACAACAGTTTGCTATGGTTATAATTGCAATAGAGACGAAAGAAATAAAGAAATATCAAGAGTGTAGACTTCGAACTGGATTCATAAGAGGGGACAAACGTTTTTGAAATAGTTGTTAATAGTAATACCACTTAATGCGAATTTCACGAGAGGATAGATAAGGCCCACCAATTCAATTTCGTGCCATTTTACTGGAGAACGCATTTCCAATTCTTGCGTAGTGGGAATTCTAACAAACCAGAACTGATAGATCCAAAAAAAGACTTTCGCCTTTTCACCCGGCCCTGGTGGTCTCACCTATTGGCTCTGGCCCGATTATGAACATCACATTGCTCCAGCTATTACCACAATCTTTATTAGCTCTCTTATTAAAGCAACATGTAGTCCCTTTGACACGGAAATTAGTAAACGTGTCACCTACTCCTAAGGAGTCGCGGGAAGGGTACACTCCAATATCGACGTGGCTTGCTTCTTTGATACACCCACAGAAGAAAAAAAAAATGGGATAAGACTGACCACTATCCGGACTTAGCGCAAAAGATCTGGAACTGCAGAGGTGTGTCTATTATCCCTACCATGATTGGGGCACTTGGAAAAAAACCTGAAGATATGGTTTAACAACATAGGAAGACCTGGGATCCCGAAAATTCTAGGTGGCCTTTTTAGGGTGAAAATCCGTTAAAAATGTGTAATTATACCATTTTGTAGATGTTTGAAAATCCTAGGAGAGGCAGGCAAGCAAGAAATTTTACAACAAATGCTCCGAAAATTCTAGATCTCAAATCGTCTTCCGAACAGATATTTTCCCGAAAATTGCCGTTGGGTGCCCTTGTTTCAGTTTATGGTAGCTTGAGTTACTCTTTTGTAGGCAATTTACGGAAGTCCTAGGGTATTCAGCCGACACCTCAAGAGCCTAGAGCTGTCAGACCTTGGTTTTGAATTACTTATAAAAATTAGCTGGCTGCACATTGAATGTGCAGCCAGCTAATTTACATAAAATTTTTTCGCGCCTCAAAGCTCGTCATGGATAAATAGAATCTACCTATTCCAGAGGTGCGACAGCACATTTCCCATCTCAGAAATGTAGCTAACTCTGACATGCAGACAGTTCTGTATTAATTATAGTTGAAGCATTGAAACAAGAATTCTCACTCTATCATCATCAGTCAACCAATCATCAGTAATAATTAATGATATTTAAATACAATGTTAATCAATCAGTCAGTCAATCAATCAATCAAGCAATCCTCAATAATTTTACCAGGTAACCGCCTGTCCATTATAATGAGTTTTCATTGAAAAAATTATTTTGTTCATTTACAGGCTCACATATTTCATTGTATCCAAGCTTGAATTTTGTTGTTTACGTGCCTTCTCAGAGACAAACACCTCTTTATATGAGAATCAAGGATGGTGAGAGATTAATATACATAGCTGTTAAATAGTTAAAAACAAAACATAAAACTTAAGATCATTTTATTCAACTTTTTGTTTGAATTATTACAAAAGTGTCTTATTTTTAGTCTTATACACAGCCCTGCTGTTGACATCAGAGAACATCCCCTAGTGGTTTCAAAATCCAACTAAAGCAGTCTTCTGTTCAGCTCAGCAGCTGTAGCAGGCCTTTCTCATACGTTTAACCTTAAACCTTTATTCATACCAGTCCTTTAGTTACAGAATCTCACCTACGTCTGCTGTCAGCTTCCTGCCTGAGGGTTCCTAGAAGATGAACGTACATGGGACCCTTATCAATGCCATGCCTTTCGATTCCCTGACACTTCTTAGTCTTTCTGAGCCAGTTTTTCTTTCACCCCACTTTAAGCTCCGATCTCTTTTCTTTTTATATCTGTCAAGGGCAGCAAAGCAGTAGCAATGCATTCTTGAGTCCACAATGTGGTGGAATCATGATTTGCAATCTTCAACAGACTGCACTAACGAACAGTACCAGACCACAGTGGATAGAGGTTGATATGAATCCCGTTATGAACACATTCCTGGCTCAACTGAAGCTGTTACTGGGAGTTATGCCTGTGGTAAGAATTCAACTTTTTTCCATTCTCACTGACTTTTATACTTTTTCACAGCTTACACCCCCAAAACTAGTCTCCCACATGGCCATTTTTGTCTGCTCACGGATTGTCCTTCATGATGATTGTCTTGTCTTGTTCCTTTGTTCCCTAAACCTTAATTCCCTTGTTCCTTATTCCTTTGTTATCTTGTTCCTTTGTTTCCTTCTTCCCTTGTTTCTTTGTTGTTTTGTTCTCTTGTTCCTCTCGTTCCCCTTTCTCTCTTGTTTCCCAGTTCCCTTGATACCCCTGTTCCCCTGCTGCTTTGTCCCCCCTCTTCCCCTGTTTCCTTGCTCCCCCTGCACCCCTTGTTCCCTTGTTCCCTCTGCTCCCCTTGTCCCCCCTGTTCCCCGGTTTCCCTTGTTTTCCTTTTCCCCCTGTTCCCATTGTTTTCCCTTTTCTCTTTATTCCCCTGTTCCTTTTGTTCCCCCTGTTCCTCTTGTTCCCCTTGTTCACCTGTTCCTCTGTTTCCCTTGTTCCCTCAGTTTCCCTTGTTTTCCTTCCCCCCTGTTTCCCTTTTTCCCCATGTTCCTCCTGTTACCCCTGTTCCCCTTGTTCCCCTGTTTCCCCGTTCCTCTGTTTTCCTTGTTCCTCTGTTCCTCTGGTTTCCCTTGTTTTCGTTTTACCCCTGTTCCCCTGTTTTCCTTATCATGTCTTGTCTTTTCTTGCAATGTCTTGTCTTGTGTTGTCTTGTGTTGTAATGTTATTTCTTGTCGTCTTCTCTGGTCTTGTAATATCTTGACTTGTCTTTTCTTGTTATGTCTTGTAATAACTTGTCATGTCTCGTCTTGTAATGTCTTCTCATGTCTTGTAATATCTTATTTATCTTGTCTTGTAATGTCTTGTCTCATCTTGTATTTCTTTTCTTGTCTTGTCATTTCATGTAATGTCAAGTGTCTTGTCTTGTAATGCCTTGCCTTGCCTTGTAATGTCTTGTCTTGTAATTTCCTATCTTGTGTCATCTCATCTTGTCTTGTAATGACTTGTCTTGTCTTGTCTTGTCTTGTAATGTCTTGTCTTGTAATGTCATGACATAACTTGTCATGTCTTGTCTTGTTTTGTAAGGTCTTTTCTCCTAGTTCTTGTCTTGTAATGTTTTTGTCCTGTCTTGTAATGTCTTGTCTTGGAGCATTGCGTGATGAGGCAAAATCGCCTACAAGAGGAGGTTTCTTAAAAAGCAATAAGTTTGATTATAGTCTTTTTATATTAGAGTTTTAGGTCTCCTATCAGTCTAAATACACATGTCTTTGAAACAGATTAAAAATGCGACTGAATATTCTCTTCGGCTTTCTAGCTTAAGATAATCCAACCTAACTGATTGTCTAAATGTCATTTTGATTCATGCCCGTAATAGGTTATTCATTTCTAAAAACGATTTATGCTGCCTCTTTTTCCAATTTCGTTTTGCTCCAAATGAATACAATAAATTTTATTTTAACCATTATTTCCTTTTTTAAAGAAACTTGTAGATGGCGTTGAAGTAAGATTCCCAAAAGATGTTGGAATAACACAGTGGGTAATGACCATTAATGTAGTTGTTTCTTTGTTAACCCTTCAAGTCCCAAGAGTGACCACCCTCAATTTTCCCCTAACAATCTCCATACATTGTCAAAAAATAAGGTTATGAGAATTAATAAAAGGATCAGTAAAGGGAAAAGTCCTTGATCTTTTGTTAAATTATCTCAACTAAATTTGGAAGGAAATGTATGGATATCAGTTTGGAGAATTTGTATGTGGAGAATTAAGTGTAGATTGTAAGCAGTCTCCTCTTTGTCTGATTTAACAAGGCAATAATTGCTCGCCCGCGCCAGTGTCGAAGCCACGAGGCCAGCGAATCGAGGGTCGCAGCCTCTCCCGTCTTACGCCTTCCGTCTCGCGCGTGGTCATTTTCGTGTCTCACGCAGACAGACTGAGAAAAAAATTACTTCTCTTAGTCTTAACTTAGCCTCTAGTTATGGTTAAGGTTTTACTGTACTCACAGGAACAGGAGTCACTGATGAGACGGAAAACATTGGAATATCTTGCCACCTCCACCATCACGCTAACATCCCTCGCCCAGCTGTTGGGAAAAATCAGCAACATGGTTATTAATGATCACATTCAACAGCAAGTGCAACAGGCGCTGCATGCAGTCCATCAGGTGTGAATAATATCCTATCATATTCACCTCAACTGCCCGCCTTCCCCTTTCCTGAGTCAACATTTTGCCCTAAGTGAGAAGTAAGTCTTTATGTGGGCTTCGGGGAGGGGTAAGTGGGCAGTTTCCCAGAAACGTGTAATGATATTGTTTTACTGTAGAATTTTATAACGCAAAGGTTTTATCTACACATATATCTGAAAATTTGGTGAAACTTCTCCTTTGGGACAGCCCTATTAAGAGGACACCCAATTCAAGGAACAAACATTTTGTTCCCGAAAAAAAAAAAAATTCTACATGTATCAGTGAGTACTGTTGAAGGGATTCCTCGATTTAGGGGAGACATGTGCTGATCCTGAGTTAGTCCCCTAACGAAGGCTCGTCTGTGTAATCTTTGTATCAGCCACCTCTATTGGATGGACACCCCTATTAGAGGAACACTTTTTCTGGTCTGTAGAATATCCCCTAAATAGAAGCTCCTCTCTTGGGGAAAAAAGCGAAGCGCACAAGTCAAATTTTCAAAACACTTTGTAAAAGATTTCTTTAACTGGCTCCGAAAATGTAACTTTGTAGTCTTCTTTTCTGTTCTTATTTACTTTTTTCGCTGCTTGCTTCGTTGCATCCTCCAAATCTCTTGCTCCTTGCCAAGAAAAGAAAGCCTCGGCTGGTTGCGAAGGAGATTGGAGGTTTACACTCAGTCCTAATGAGTGTGAACATTTATCTTCTCTTTTTGTGGTAGTTTTTTGGTTGTTGAGGACGGATGCAATCAGCAAATGACTGAAAAGGCATTGAACAATACCCACATCACACCACAGCAGCTAAAGGTGATGTTACACAGGACGATTCGACGCGACGATTTTTTGTACAACACATCGTTGCAATGTTGGAACAATGTTGTAAGCATTCGAAACAATGTCGCAACAATATTGCAACGCTCTGTTGCGCTAAAAATGGTCGTTTCGAATCGTCTCGTGTAATATCACCCTAACTTTCAAGAGTTAAACACCCGGGGAGATACCCCCACATCGTAAAATCCCTTGTTAAGCCCTGGGCTTATATAACTTCGTAAGGCGTTTTGGGTGGGCTTATAAACGGGGGGCGTATATCCGTGGGGGCGGGGGGGGGGGCTTTAACCTCCTAGGGGGGGGGGGGGGGGGGGGCTTTAACCTCCTTTATCTTCATTTTTCTAAATTCAAATATAACTGAATGTTTTCTTTACAAACGCTTTTTTTTTGTAGTCTGTAACAGCCCTTGAGCACGGAAATCTGACCGTAGCCGTTCTAACTGCCAAGACAGCCATCAAATCTTCGGGTCAGTATAAATCTTTTTTTTCCTTTTTTTTTTGTACGAAGTAGCGCCGAACGCCCAAACTTCTGCCCTCTCTCGATTTAAGTGTGTTCTTTTACAAACTACCAGAAGTAGATATTACTGGTGACAGGAATGCCATCTCGGGTGTTATCCATATATCATCTGTTAGTGACAACTTTGTTCTTTACTTTCTTTTAAGATATGGTGAGCTCCGTCTATTCTAGCTTGCGTAGCAAGGGCTTCCGTTTGGTTTGGGATCAAAGAAAGACCGAGGAATGGGATTTTCGGTTTTGGTCGCGCGAGAAATGAAACGAGAGCCATTTTTCGCGCCGTCTTTGGCTCTCGTTCCGGAAACGCTTGCTACGCGGGCTACATCCATTCCTATATGATAAAATTCTGGTTAAATGATAAGCGATACCATGACGTTACATTCTCACTTGTGATCAACTCAGTGTCCTTCTTTCTTTCAGAGGAAGCATTTTTTGACCCATCAATACTTGAGCTTTTGTATTTCCCTGACGATCAAAAGTAAGCAGTTATATTTTTAACTCTTTTTTATTATTGTTACCAATTATCAGAGTGATTTTACTTCACCTACGAAGCAGGTACTAACAACTAGAGCAAAATAGCTCCAAGTAAACTAAAGAAGACAATGGTAATAGGTAGTAATTATAACTACTACCTATTTCACGGGTTAAGTACAATCCCTGACTCTAACGGTAATATGGTTTATTTCTTTTTTCTCGCAGGTACGCCATCTACATTCCTCTGTTTCTCCCCATCAGCCTTCCAGTTTTGTTGTCTCTTAGACAAGCAATAATTTGGTACAGAGGAAAAGACGATGAAGACAGCAAGGACGAGAAAAAAGATAAGCAAGAATAACTTATTGATGATGTCATGGTCATCTCCGGATAAAACAAGATGAATGTGATATCTGAAAGCCGCTTGTTTTTGCCCATATCGTGTGACCATCTCGTTTTCTCGATCAAGAAATTTTGCTTCGCATTGTCCCTGACGGATAGTAAAGAACCCTTTCGACGAGCTTGCACGGGTACTTGCGACAAATTTGCTAGGATAACCGTGAGATGGACTATTATCCCACCTAGAAGGGGTAGCAATTCTCGTAATAAGTCCCGTTAGTTTTGGGATCATTTGTGCCTTTTATGGTGACCACGCAATTTCCGTACGCGATGCGTTGGACAAGATGAGTGGTAAAAACCACATAAACCAGTCCTGTAAGGCTACGTTCACACTGTACGGGATAGCTTTTGCACCAGAACGAAAATTATACCGAATAGGGCTTCTGTTCACACACGAGAACGATAATTTCGGCGCGATTTCTGTAACGGAGCAAAGCTGCACCGCGCCGATCTTGAGAGTGGAGAATCACCTTTCGGATAAGTGGTGTTCATACTATACCGGATAGATTTCTTGTCGGCATAAAAGGCTATCCGGTTTTGAGTGAACATAGTCTAAATCTCTGTTGATGAGACACTCGATTTGAGCCACTAATCCATCACGTCATGGTGTCCTTACTGCAACCAAAGAAGGGAGAACAATGAGGTATTAAGCTGATACGATTCCATTCTATTACAGTTTAAGTGTCGGCCTGTTCGCGAATAGACCTACAGTTCAAGCTTGGTCAATGGCGCATATTCATATAATATGCCATTTCCGAGCTGTCGCAAGCCTCTGTTTCAAAGTGAGGCTAAGTGCGACGCTGTTGATATGAAAAATGATTTTTTTTATTCTCCTGCAACTGAAGCAAAACTCATTTTCACAAGAAAGGTGTTGCACTTAGCCTCATTTTGAGAATGATAGTTTTTGGAACTCGGAAATGGACAATAAACTTTTTTATGAGAATGTTGATGCAGAGAATGGGAAAAACTAAAGAACATTCTAAGATGAAGGAGATAGCTCAGGGTGAAGTCAAGTTAAAAACAGTGTATTCTAGCCGTTTAAACATGAGCAATATAGAGAAATTGTCACAACCAGTGCATTAAATGTTTACTGAACATTAGTATAGGGTGGGTTTGAAAATTTCACACCAGTTTGAAAAATTTAAACCAGTTTAAAAAAATTCAAACCAGAGAAAAAATTTGAACTACAACATATACACCACTCCCCAGTGAAAACATTCATTTGTGGCTCTGTCTCAGGGTAAGCTCTTGCTCAGGGATGTTACAAAACGGTGAATAGGGAAAAGGAAAATGAAAAATGGGAGAAAAAAATGTCAGTAACTCTGTCAGTTGTTTCCTTGCCCATTCCCGTTTGCGTTTTAATAATACCATTGTCTTAGGCTCACCTCAAAATTGGACGGTGTTGAAAAGAAAACAAAACAAAAGAAACTAACAAACAAGTAAATAAAATGCAAAACAAACGACAAGAGAAACAAAGAGGGTTGCTCTTTTCTTGACTTATTACAGTGTAAGAACGATGAGACCTGGGATCAAAAGTGGCCTACTTTCAAAGCGAGGCTAAGTGTAAAACGTTCTTGTGATAATGAGTTTCCTTTGAATGAGAATAAAATATCATTTTCTCATCAATGACTTCGCACCCAGGAAGGGTTCATAATTTATGTAGATGGGGCTGTGGTGATTTTAGCATTTTTCAGGTTCAAATTTTAGTAGGTATCACCCTATTATTTGGTGTGTTTTTTCGTGCCCTCGCTCATCCATAGGCAAAATACATGACCTCTCTCCGCCTCTCATTATTTCTACACCTAAATTAGTGGTTTGACACAATTTCTTATCCATAAGGATTGTTTTGAACTGTTTTTGTCTGCTCATTTTCTATTTTTTAAAAATTCTCAACTTGAATCTGGCATTTGCCGTTTGCCGTATACGAGACGCTTAAACTCCCTAATGCCTCCTTTTTAGTCATTTTGGCAGAAATTCTCGATAGCCCCCGCCCCCCTTAAACCTAACCAGAAAAACTCATGGCCCTCCCAAAAAAACACCATAGCCCCCTCTACATAAATTATGAATTCTCCCTTAGCCTTGCATTCAAATATAGGCTTGGGGAAACTCGGAAATGCACTATTCAAGATCAACTGTGACAGTGATTAATAAATCTTCTTTAAAAAAGATCTTTTTAAAGTCTGACTAGGTTAGGAACTTATGTACTCGAGGCAAAAATGTTTGACGTCATCTATAAACATTTTAATACGTCCGCAACATTTGTTCTAAGCCTGTTGCCACAGCAATGCTTCGTTGAAGGGCCCAGTTGCATAACAGCAGAAAATTCGCACTTAATTTTATGTCGCCTTATGCAACTTGCAAAATTGATCAAAAATTAAGGTAGGAATGAAAAGTACCAAGTGCACTGTGATATGATAAAACAAGAACGCTCTAGGTAGCGTTGAGTCTCGCTTGTTTGTAGACTGAAGATAAGAAGTGAGGAGGCGAATAGAGCGCGAGCGGGGGGGCGCTCCGCATATAAAAGGGCTTGCGATGCTCGTCGTCTTGCTTTCCGGCCCCACATTTAAAGCCTAAAACCAGAGTGAATGCCACAAGACCCGTTTTGCCATAATATAAATCGGCACTTCCAGAACAAATCCCAACGTACACTTTTTTATATTTTTATTGTTCATAGTCTCTCAGCGGTCAAAAAAGCTTGGGCTACGCCCGGATCGATCTCTTGTAGGGGTTTAATTCAAAATTTCCGACGAGCATCCCCTTGCCTTTCATGTGCAGAGTCTTCCTCCCCCGGGGTTCGTCATAATTCCTCAGAGTCACCGACAGCAAGTGAAAAAGTTGAATTAGGGACGGACCATTAGAAAAGTTATGGGGGGGGGCGGGGAATTTTCGAGCCGCAGGAATTTTTTTTCTTTAATGTTTCCCGTGAATGAATATTTTTTTTTGTCAAGATGTTGTGCACGAATATTTTTTTTTCCTTGAAGTAACACTAAACTAAAAACATATTAAATCACTCAGTTGTTCACTTAACCAAGGGCATAATTTAAATATAGGCTACCTGGGCATGTATGCGAAAGTAAATTGATACATATTATAAGGTACAGTTCACAATAGCCTTTTATACACAAGGTATCCTGTATTGTACGTGGATTGGTACTGCGCAGGTTCATATTGCATTGCTGAAATTTTACATGTAAACAGCATTATAAATAAGGCATTCTAAAAGAGTGTACAGTTGACTCTCTCTTAACGGACACCTCTACAAGACGGACACCTCTGTAAAACGGACACCTACAGTTGGTCCCTGCCCTTCTTTACTCCTTTTATTTGACTCTTTATAAGACGGACATCTCTCTAAGATGCACACTTAGTACCGGCCCCAAAGGTGTCCGTCTTAGAAAGAAATGACTGTGGGGTTCTTAAAGGATACATAAAATGATTTATGTCCACCACTATAAAAGATCTGACGCAATATAGACACAGTGGGACAGAAGAAAGCCAGTGGGAGTAGATGGGACATTTAAAATAAATAAAAGCTAACCATACTTCGAGTCAGTGCTTAATGCTAATCACTATAGTCATGTCTTAGCCTTAATCACTATTTTCAGTGCTGTATACTGCTGACCATCATTCGGCGTTCTGCATTCTGCGTTGAGTGTTTTGCATTCTGCAATATACCCCTACCATTGATAAATTATGATATACTCTTACCATATTGATACGTTAAAGTTTTTGTTTATAAAATATAATTATGATGATATTGTTATTATCAAGAACCAGAACGGAAATTGTCTAAAAATGTGAGGTAAAAATAGATAAATTTGACCAAATGTGAAAAGTCTTTAGGCTGCTAGTCTGAAAAGAACATGTATCTTTGAGTTAGTTCCATTTATCTAAAAGGACCGGCAACAACTGTAAAAACAAAATCTAAGAAAATAGATTTATTTTATTTTTATTTTTATTTATCTGTTGCTTGTTAGAAGTACCAAGAAATAATATATATTCTGGATGTTTCTAGGTGTTTCCTTCGGTTTGTGGGGAATACTCTGATTATTGTTATCTATGGTATCTAAAAGAAATTTATTGATCCAGATATTAGATATATAGTTCACAAAGTAAGGAAATGATAACCTTATAAGATGTTGAGTTTTTGTAATACATAGAAAAGTGTAATTGAATTTATTTAAAGTTATTTAATAATCATATCTGAAATTGCCAGCGATTAAAATTTATGATAAGCTTACAAGCCTTAGATATATTTTTTTGTATCAGGTATGATTATTTACAAGACCAAAATTCAGCAGGAAGTTTATTCAAAGGGCCGATGTTTTGCACACAGTATGCTTTCCTGCCTGCCTTCTTAAGACTTGTGCAAAATGTGTGGAAGGCCAATGCAGGAATTTTTTTTCCTGGTCTACTCTGCATGCATGAATTTTTTTTCACTTAATTTTCCCTTGCATGAATTTTTTTTTTGTACTTCGCCCGCCCCCCCCCCCATAACTTTTCTAATGGTCCCTCCCTTATCCAAGGCAATGGCTGCATATGACAGTCAGTCCTTGGGGCAAAAAGGTTTCATTTTCGAGCTGTTTACATGTGAGTCATTGATATAATTATGATATATGTGTTTTCGTTGAAATCTGTCAATGGTTTTAACACTGTCAAA